CCCCTGCTTTTACTAGCAATGAAAAGAACTTTAAAGGAAAAGCACCAAAGTTTGTGAGGAGCAAATTTTTCCATGGTGAGCGATGTAATGTGTTTTGGTGTAAGTCCCTGTTTAGAAAGCTGCTGCCTCAAGGCCATCACTGGCCCACCTGGCCACGTCTTGCATGACCTGCACGTGAGCCGTCAATCAGCTATGAGCATCTTCAGGGCGCCAATCTCTCCTGCGACAGCCAGCACCAGCTCAAACACTGCGGTGGAGTCGTAGTTTGGGTGTTTTAGAGCAGCTGTTCTTAAACTTTAAAGGGACGAATTGCCTGGAGATTTATGAAAATTAAGAACCCAGAGGTTCTGATTCTGTGCGTATGTGCGTGTGTGCGTGTGTGCGTGTGAGAGAGAGAGAGAGAGAGAGAGAGAGAGAGAGAGAGAGAGAGAGGGAGAGGGAGAGACTGAGCATATTTTTTTTTGGGGGGGGGGCAGTTGTCATTTTAACAAGCAACCCAGATGAATCAGATGCAGGTGGTCAATCGTCCTTACTGGGAAACATCTCAACTAGAACCTATAAAATGTTAAAATCCTTCGGCCAAAAGAATTAGAAAGTTTAAATCACAGCAATATCTCTATTTATGAGCACTCAAAAACAATTCATCACTCCAGGAAAAAGAAGAACATGCATGTTTTAGATTTCCCACAGGTTACTGTATTAAATATTACATCTTCACCACAGTCCTCTGAGTTAACTAGAGTGGGTGATATTATTCTGACTTTGCTGATCAGGACATTAACGCAGGCAGAGTGATTTGCCAAAGGCTGCGTATAACCACCTGGGGCACGAACCCCGGTCTCCTGACTTTTGACTGGAGGTCAGATAAGAGGCCATCCCCTCAGACACTGCTCAAGTCAAAAGCTTTGGGAACCCACGAAGAAAATATAAGCACATTTCCTGATCTGGTTTTGGATCCAGTTTCCGTCGCCTTTCTATTTCCAAGCTCTGCTTCAACAGGCAACTTTGGGAAAAGCAGTGCACTGAGGGAACCCTGTCATTTTCCACGTTTCAGCATTTGCTTTGGGGACCCCTTCTGGAGAAGCCCACGCCTCGTGGCTGTGCTCCCTGGGAAAAAGAAAAACGCCTGCCCCTCTACGGGAAAGCAAGGTCACATATTCTCCGTAGCTAAGGACTTTGGCATTAACCAGGACAGCCATGACCCGAGTTTTTCGTTTACCGTAGAGCCAAGCATGGGAACAGAAGGATGGAAAAGCAGGATGCTCCTAAAACCCCCACAAACGCCGTGCACTTTCAGGAGCGGAAGTATGCGGATGACTTCTTTGATTCAGAAACTTCCACTGGGAGTCCCTGGCTGGCCCTCTGGTTGGGTTTCACATACCAAGCCATGAGGTGCCTTAGGGGAGATAAAGACTCTTTGACAGCGGAGAACAAGTCTTTAATTCTACAGCCCTTCCTTTCCTCTGCCCTCCAGGGAAAACCTGCGTGAGAGAAACTCCAAATATAATGGACAAGACAAAGAAATATTTAATCAAATCAGTTTAGGAAACCCCAGCAGAAACAATACTTCTTTTCAATGGTTGAAGACGTTATGAATAGACAGAATGTTTTGTGTGTCGAATCTCTCTCTGGCTTAATTCTAAAGCTTCAAGGAATTACGCTCACTTGCCAGAAACCTACTGTTTAGTGAACTAAAAAAAAAATGGTTTATAAAAATCACTAAAACATTCTTAAACTGGTACTTTTTAAAAAGCAGTATTTTCCCTATAATACCCTTCACTCTGAAGCGTTCACCAACCAAGAACTCAAGAGACAAACATGGCTCAGGCATATTCTCAACAGTCCCCCAAACAGCCAGTTCCTTTCACTGATGCACCTGTACCCAGGTGCCCCCTCTCTTCGTGACAGCGCACGATTCCTCCTGGGTCAACACAGAACCTTTCTGAGACTTCAGGCTAGTTTAACCACTCTCCGCTAAAGTGATTCTTCAAAAGTGTTAAAAATGTTTTTTTTTTTTTAATACTTCCCTACCATTTTTCAAAGAATGAATGAACCATTGAGTCAAAATAGAGAGTGAGCCAGGCATAGTGGCTCACGCCTGTAATCCTAGCACTCTGGGAGGCAGAGGCGGGAGGATTGCTTCAGCTCAGGAGTTCGAGACCAGCCTGAGGCAAGACCCCGTCTCTACTAAAAATAGAAAAATTAGCCAGATGTGCTGGTGCACAGCTATAGTCCCAGCTACTCGGGAGGCTGAGGCAGGAGGATCAGTTGAGCCCAGGAGTTTGAGGTTGCAGTGAGCTAAGATAACGTCATTGCATTCTACCCAGGGTGACAGAGTGAGACTGTCTCAAAAAAAAAAAAAAAAATAGAGCGTGGCAGACAGCAGGTGATTCAGTATTGACTGGTTGGCTGTGACACTAAATCACACATGGTTTCCTGATGCCCTTTTCCCACTCAGAGCTCCCTCCAGAAGAAGACTAGAGATGATAAACAGCTCTTTAAACCCAGTCAGCAGATCACCCATTGAGAAATCTGGCTGCAGGAAAACTGCACTAACCCTCTTATTCAGACCGAAAACCTCAGTCTCACCCAGCTCTGTTCTAGTTCACAACATCATCATTTGTATCCTAGAAATGCGTCAACCAACAAAAAGGTTAAAATGACATGGTTTGAGTAAAATAAAAAAATGCTTTTATACAAAAGTGAAATGTAGTTTAATGGCATCATTTCTTTGCTCTTGGACAGTAGGAATGGTCCCTAAATTTCTACTGGAAGAGTCCCCAAATACGTACATTTCACCGTTAAGCTGAGCCTCAGCACCACACAGACCTGCAGGCTTATGCGACGTGTATAGCAAAAACGCTGGCACGTTAGTGGCTGTGTGATCAGCCTGGCCCCTTGGCAGTTCAGAAGTCATTTGCCCCAGGGCAGCGAGCCAGTGGTGGGCCTGATTCACGCGTGTTTGAATCACAGTTCCTGAAGCACAGCGCACGGGCGGTGTGGCGGCAGCTCTCTGTCCAGGATGCTGGAGGGGCTTCCAAAGGAATGGGCTGTGCCTGCCAGTCACACACCAGCTGACCCCATCCTGCCAGCTGTCACTCTCCCCTAATTTAGAAAACCGTGCACGGCAGCCCCCATGTGTTGCCCCGCGCCATAAAACTCCCCCAAACGGGATATCAGGAGCAGATCCACCTTAGCCAGGTGGAGGAGAACACGAAGCAGACACCCTAAGCACCAATGCCTTACCCAAATGATCCCCTTGCAGGGGATACTTTTCTTGGTTTGTTTTGTGGGACCTATTGCATTGCTTTACAATAAAATTGATTTCTTTAAATGCACAAAGTATCTTCTGTTGGGAAATGCTCATTTGGCTGCATGACAATCTTCTGGGTTCATTCAACACCCTCTCATTTCCTCTATTGCCTGGATTTGGAAAGGAACTGTAAACCACGTTATGGGTTTGTCCTCTTTCCGTACACAAAGCAAAGATGCATCAGAGCACACGAGAGACCGTGCCTGCAGGACAGGGCCATCCTGCTCGGCACCTCCACTCATGGCAGGCCCCGCACACCCTGGGGTGTCAGCTGCCCGCTGACCAGGTGAAAAGGCAGGCAACGCCACCCTGGATCATCTCACCTGGAACAGCTGCTGGGCATGATCTAGACTTGGGTGGACTCGGGAGCTTTTGTTTATTTCTACAGAGTAAGTGAGGCAGACATAGCAGCCAGGTGGGCCATGCACAGGCCCACCCCTAAACTATGTATTCCTGGGGCGGGACCACCAGCGGAAGCCTGACACACGGTTCTCCCCTTCTCACCCCTGGCCCTGTCCCCAGCACACACATCCTCCTGCGAACGTGGTGGACAGACCGGCACCACCGCCCATCTACTCAGTGCACGGCCCCTGCAGAGAGCTGCCCCCCTTGGGCCCAGGGGAGCACACACCGGCCTGGATCTGGGGCGAGGGCCATGGGCCTGGGCTGTGGGTTCTGGCTGTTTGGGAAGGAAGCTTGGAGGACTGGGAGCCCAGAGAACAGACGGAAGTGGGAAGACTGGCTCTGTGCACCACGACTTTCCACTCTGTGCAGAGGAACAACTCTGCTGTGAGGACAGGGCCTGGGCAGCCAGCTGTGGGCGACCCCAGGGTAGGGTCTGTGGGGTGGGCCTGGACACCTGGGCCCACACAGCTTCTCCGGCAAATCGAGGAGGTTCAAACCATAGATTACCAAGTTCCTGCCTCCGCACACCTGATACACCGGGATTCTATGACCCAATTTGTCCCTGTTGATGGCTCAATCTCAAACACTGGATAAAAACAATATAAAAGAAAAGGAAATATAAAAAAAATATTCAAGCAAGTATAAAGGCCTTCCAATCTCAGCCTCTCCAGTTCAAAGACATGAACCACGAGGGATTCCGGGTTCATCAATGATCTGGTTAACAGAGTTGTTAGATTTATCTTTCACAGGTGACCAGTTATCAGCTAATCGGAGTGTAACATCAAAACTGTAATCAACATAATCACTGGAATACGAATGACTAAAACAGCTCCAGTTTTTCAAAGGAAACATCAGTAAACATCAGTAATGCGCTATGGAAATGTGGACATGCTGGGTAAGTCAGACCATTTAAGTTGACGATTTTCCACAATATTGAAAATTTCAGGCCAGGCGTGGTGGCTCACGCTGTAGGCCCAGCACTTTGGGAGGTCGGGCCGGGAAGTTCGCTCCAGCCCAGGAGTTCAAGATCAGCTTAGGCAGCATAGCGAGACCCCGTCTCTACACAAAACTTTAAACAATTCTCAAACGCCGCTTCTGCGGACTGGACAACCTCTTTGAGATGCTTCGATTCGGTGCTTATCTCCTGATAAATTCTGATGGAAGCAGGTAACACCAGCCTCTCCTCATGGTTGTTGTGAGACGCAGAGAGCCTCTCACCCACACGTGGGAAACGCCGCTACCACAGGGCGCAGCGGGCACAGTGACAATTAGCAGTACTGACCTGCCCTTTCATATCCGGAGCAATGGGAATGGTGGGCCAGATGGTTGAGTAGACGCCGAAAAACACCAGCCAGATCAGCATGCTGCCCCAGACCGCCAGGTGACTGAACTGCAGGGGAAACAGACACTCAGACGGGGCTTCTCACCGCTGGGCGGACTCGCCGGAATCCACCTGCTGCGGGAACCCCTGCACCCAAACTACCTCTCCCTATGGGAACACTGGGGAGTTCCATTTTTCTAACTCCTTTGTCTCAGAATTTTTAACAATGAATTCAAGTGGCCAGTGGCCACAAACCGCCCTGAAGAAGAACACGCTTTTGCTGTCACAGCTGACTTTCCTCTAGGACCCGTGCTACAGTGACAGCAGGCACCTCTCAGCTCATGGCAAGTATCTGCTCCACCCTAGGGCTGCACGGAACACGGCCCCATTAGCCCGGTAAGAGAGCGGCTGAACAGGCAAAACGAATTTACGTTATTTATGTTATTTACCATTTCGAGACTCTGGTTGTTCCATTCGTTTTGCAAAGTTGTTTTTTTTTTTTAAATCTGGAATGGATATTATATCTTAATGCCCCTCTCAGCATCTACTGAGTTTCTATTTTTCTCTCTCTTGTCCTCTCAGTATGATGATCCCTGATGTCTTTCTTTCTTCCATACCCTACAATCTAATCAATCTGCAAGTTCTGTTAGCTTTTCACAAGACAAAAAATGCAACCAGACTCCGACCACTTCCCACTACCTCTTCCTCTAACACCCCAGCCTAGGCCACCCTCACTTCTGACCTGGACTAGCTGCTTCTGTCCCTCTCTCTCCTGAGGGAGCCCCAGTTGCGCACCCTGACCTCCCACCCCGTGCCCATTTTTCTTAGCAGAATATTTAAACATCGGCCAGGTCATGACACTCTGAGGGAGACAAACATGAAGCGTTAGTTACAACCCTCCAATGTTGGAAATAACCAAAACGTCTAAAATAAGAGGCAATGAAATAAATGATGGAACATCTGTACAACTTAATACTCTTCAATCTCGAGCAATGATTTCGTGGAATTATATTCTAAGGCATAGAACATGTGCCTGATATATTTTTAAGTACAAAAGGATTACAAAGCTCTATGTTCTATAATGTATCGTCATATTAAAAAAATACACACATATTAAAAAAATACACATATCTTGCAAATATGGAACAAAGTCTGGAAGGTTACAGAGCAGAGTGTTAATTATCTCTTAGTGGTAAAATCATGGAAATTAAATTTTTTTGCTCTTCTGTATTTCCCATATGCATGTGTATATGTATGTGTGTGTATACAGGGCTTTGGGGGGTTTTCTCACAATGGGCGTATACATTTGAAATGAGATGACTGTTAATAGCTTAGAGCTATAATTAGGTGCCAAGCAAATGAATCACCAAGAAACTTTGGATTGCAAATTTGCCCTGATAAAGATCAAACCACAAATTTTACACGCAAAACTTAAAATAAGATAGCTAGATGTTACTTATTGTTTCCCCAAGGCTTTGCATAAAAGCAAAATCATAGCATAAAAAATACCTATACTGGATAGAGAAACAATTCTAGAGAAAACTTACTTTAGTCCAAGCTGTAGTCTCCAAACCAGCTTTCAGACACACAGTAACGACAACATACTGTGAAAAGAAAGAAGAGTTTGGAAAAAATACATTATCCTCAGTGAGCTATTTCCATTTTCCGTGGGAAATCCCACGTCTCTGCTCCAGAGTTAGCTCCTCCAAGGAAGAGATATTTTCAAAGTGCCACATGGGTAGCTAACGCTCTAGGGGTTATTTTTAGGAAACACACAGGCAGATTTACTCCCAGAAAAACTCTCATTCTAGTGATGGTCTTCTCACAAATAATAGTTTTGCCCTTTCCTTAGCGTAGATGATTTGGGAGAAATCACCTTCCCGAGTGTTTTCTTTTAAGGGTGGATGTGCAACGGTCCTTTGAAGAACTGGGAAGTCTGCCAATCACCCATCTAGAAACAGACTCTGCAGAACCTTCACAAACAACACAGTAAGCATTTCACAACCGTTCTGCGCTTCAAGGAATCTATAAAATATAGTTTAAAGACTTGACATAAATAATAATAATGAGGAAGGCCTTATATAAAAGGTATAGAGAAAGTATAACCCACACGTGGACCATTTAAGAACAGGTAAACTTACCGTGTAAACAATATTTCCAACAAATAAATAGTCGGTAGCCTGACCACTGGCCAGCGGAGTATCTGCAAAACAAATAAGTTTCTATTACCTTCCAAGAAGCAGGGCACGGCCATCTATTTTATTCAGAACATTAAAAATGGAACTTTAGAAACATCTATCAAAACCTAGGGGCATTTCAAAATTGCATCATCTGTGATTCTAATGCCTACTTCTCTTTCTAACTCTGAGTTTTCTTCATCTTATATTTTCTCCAAATGCAGCAAATAAAATCAAGCTTCCAAAAACCAAATGGCCATTTGATCTGCATTGAAATTTACATTTTTATAAAGATTAAAATCTTTTTATCCATTTTTTTTAAAAAGGAAAGGAATAAGAATTATACTAATCTCTCTTTATTAAGTGCTAACATTATATAATATCTTTTTCAAGTGTTCATTTACTATTCATCTTTAATTTTTGATATATTAGAATTGTGGGCCAATGAAAGAAGATAACTACATGAACACAGAATCAATTCATAATGACTGAACTTGGAAAGAATTTGGGGGATATTCACTACTCATGTTCTCATTTGCAAACTACATGAACTTCTGGAGTCTATAAACTGGGAAATACAAGCATCCGATGAGTGATGTTTACAAAACACAGCCAGGATTTTGAAGCATCAGTTTTCATATCTTCTTCTTTCTTTGTTTCCAAAGATGGCTATTAAACTGTATATAACAATCGCTAAGGCAGAATGTTAATAGAATTATCCAATTTATGTCAGTTAGTCCTGCTCAGAGAAGTCTGGTTTCTATCCTGAGGGGTCAAAGCCTATTTTAAGATCATGAACAGTTTCTTTGGATGATAGCAACAACCTCCTTTTATACTTTTTAATACTCAAAATATCAGATCTGTGGCCCACGGGCTGGGTAGATAGGGATTTTTGTGTTAAATTTCCAACCCAGTAGCTGTTATGCACATGTATCTGTGCTTGATGGTTTACCCATCTGCTTGCTGAAGAAGCCCACTCTTACTAAATAAGCACGATCTGTTGCCTTTCCTACAGCAACATAAGTAAGTCGCAGTGGAATAGGGTGGTCCTGAGTCCCTGGATCCAGCCCCCGGGGCACACGCTCTCTCCTGACTCTAGACAGGTGAAGAGAAGATTAACAAGCAAAGCGACACCATGGGCTGCATCGGACACGGCCCCGAACCCGAGGGCTTGCTGCTGGGCAAGGTGGTGAGAGTCACAACAGGAGAACAGAGAGAGAAAAGTGGCCACTGACTTAAAAAGGGATGAGCTCGACGCTTAGGGGAGAGGCGGTGAAGAGAGACCGCAGCTTTGGCAGAACTTCTCTAAAAAGTTCAAAAAGTAGGGGAGACGCTAAATTAACCTCAAGAAGCCAACAAACTGATGCTGCACCAGCAAATAAATATTATTAATAGCTACTCAGAGCTGCAGGGCTTCCCTTTTCAGCAACCGGCCCTCAGATTGTTTGCATAACAAGGGCGACACTTTTAAAGGCAACCCCCCCCCCCATAAAGAAACACTAGAGTTTAGACGGAAGACCATTTCTTTGATTCTAACACAGATTACATAGCCTTGAAAGGAACAACATTATTCTTCTAAGTTCTCTGGGAGCAAAATCGACCATGGCCGAGAGTCACTGGCTTAGAGGAAAGGAACAGGAGGAGCTGGAATAGGTAGGGAGGACCCACTCTGCTCTCCCCAGTCAGGCCAGGAGGTGAGCGGGGTGGGTCACAGCCATCTGCCAGATCAGGAGAGAGACAGGTGAGGCTCTAGCACTAGGCGATGCAGTTCAGAGAGCTGTTTGGCTTTTACAAGGGCACGGACTTTTTGATCACTCTGGGGCTGAATGCTAACTTTGAAGAGAGCACATACACCCAGAGGGACCCGTAAGACTACTGAACACGGACGGAGCTGGCAATTTGGCGTGAACCGAAGAAACAGACAACTAGAGGACGTTTTCCAACTGCAGCGCCTAGAGGTTCACAATGCATTAATCTCTAACTTGCCATGAGAGGGAATGCTACTGGCATTTAATCAAATGTTTACACTTCAGGCAATTTTGAGCACTGAACTTCCATGAAGATAAGACAAAACCTAGTATTATTTCAGTTCATCGTTCCGGAGGGGTAACAACACTGCATTCGTTTTCAGCTTAGGAAGGAGTATCTCCTTCCCCATTAGTCAAAGCTAATGGCATTTGGAAATAACTTATTCCCTTGGAGGAGAAACTCCCAAACCAAGACGAGATTCTGGGACCTGCCAAGAGCCCCTGAAAAGACAGCACCCTCCAAACAAGTCACAGTCGCCAGCCTGCACACCCTGTGGGGACGGTCCCCGTGGAATCGATGGCTGGGTTTCGGCTGCTTTAGAGGCAAACACCTGTGGGCATCATGCCTTGTTAAAACCTGCCAATAAGCTGATCCTGAAAGAAAGAACAGAGGCCCTAAGAAGGCATTTGTGGATGAACATATTGACAAGCTCCAGCTCACTGCTGACTCAAGGCTGGAAAAGCCCACTCCCATTGTCCAGTTTATCCCGAAGCAGGTTGCTGACGAAATACTCCTTCCCACTCTGCTTCATCTTAACGGCGCTGTTTGTGATCCTACCGCTCCTCTCAGAAAAACATCTTCCTTGTCATTTCGCTGTCTTTATTTTAGTTAGATATTTAAAATTTCAAGCGAACATTTTCAAAAGGAGGGAAAAACCTCCCCAAAACCTATTTGAATAGTTGAGTTCCCCAAGACAGCCTTCAGAACAGTGTTTATCTGTGCAAACCACGGTAAAGACATTATTTCAGAGAAAGCAGAATGGGGGAGCAGAGGTGGATATTTGGGGGTGGGGGTGGGGGCAGCTGAGAGGGAAAAGGCTATTTCAGGCAAAAAGGAAATAGCCTACATTGGGCATGGAGAAGGATTCAGGGCAGAAAGGTGTACTGAGGAGGGAGGGGTGGAGGCTACTCGGGTGCCCGCCAGAATGGTGAGGTCAGCAGGGGTCAAACCAAGCAAGGCTCTAAAAAGATTCCTGTAAAGGAAATCCAACCAGAGTGCATGCGGAGAAACTCCACCTCCCAAACCTTTGTTTTCCTACCTCAGCCAGCCTGGAGCTGAGCGCTTCCTACCAGAAACCCATCATTAGCGGACAAAGGCTTCAAGAGCCAGGGCAAAAGAAGGATTAGCCTGCCCAACTCAGCAGAACAACTGAATTTAACTGAGCCGCAGAGATCAGTCAGCCTTCTGCAAATCCAGGATCAGACCGGTGCTCAGGTGAGGGCTGAGGTGAGAGAGGAGGGCATTACCTGTCCCCAAAACCCAGGGGAACAACTTCCGAGGGGCAAGGAAAAAGCATGGGACAAATTCCCTACCTGCTGGGTTTGATGAAACACCGAGTCCCATTTAGAACAGTCTGTGATTGCATACGATGTGAAACCTAATATCATGATTATTGTTTCATGTATTAACCTACAAGAAAAGTGTCATAAAATGGGAGAAATTGCAACCCTGTCCCAGCTAGCCAGCACATGGTCTTAGAAACAATACAACGTTACGGCTTCAGGATCCACTGCCCCAAGGCAGCAGGCCAGCCTGTTCTTCCTGACTTAATATGATTTGCAAAATCTGGTTGGGCCCAGGGACCGACATAATGTAGGATTAGCCAAAAGAGGTCTGGAAACATAGTCACTAAAACAGACCACTGTGAACAACTGGGACAAAACCACAGGGGCCCTCCACATTAGCAGTAACAGCCCAAAAATGTTGCATGCAAAAAAAACCTCTTTGAAAATGCTTGTGGGAAAAGCCACAATTTGTAAGAAAAGTATGTCTCCCTTTTTTTTGAAACAGTCGGAATGATCAAGGAACTCGTTTCAGAATATTCCAAAGGGCTAGGGCGATGCCATTTTATTAAGATGCCATTTCAATTAAATGCTCATTTAGAAACGTTACATCATCACCCAGCTAAGCCACCAAATGTACTCAGAAATGGCTCTGACAAAAGGCAAATGTGAAGACAAAGTTATATAGCACAGTGCTGCATGGTCAGGGAAGACAGGACTTTATGGCCCTGGAAACAGACGGGGCGAATGAATGCATGTGTCTGCCGGACACGTGTTGGGGGCCAGTGCCACACCTGGGCCGAGCACCGCAGGGCTCTGCGGGGACAGTGGAGGCAGAGGTGGCGCCACTCCCTTGCCATGGGGGTGCTGGCTGAGACCTTCCGGTTGGAAAGCGGATGCCAGTTCCTCTTGCTCTCCCTCTCAACTTCACGTCGAGAACCTCCAGCAGCGCTATTGCAACAGCAAGGCCTGGATTCCAGAGCTCCTCCTGAGCCAGCTTGCTCTCCCGGCCAAGGAGGCCCCGGGGCTCCGGCGAGGCGCACACCGACCAGCCACGACCAGATTCGTATCTAGCGTGAAGATGCAGTCCAAGTCCCAGATAATTAACTTACAAATAAACTCGGAGACCCTTACCTGCTCACGCCTGCACTACAATCGAAACTATTCTTTTTGGCTTCCAACGTTATGAATTCATGGAGAGAAAGATTACTTCTCCGTTTCTCTGTAAAGGAGGGTGGCATAAGCTATCGGAGGGTGCTTCATGCAGGAGGGTAGGGTTTATACAAGTGTTAGTGATTATAATTACATTTGTAACCAGCGCTGCTGGGTCAAGTTCCTGGTTATATAAACCTTTCGCTGGATTTTCTCCTCTCTGTTGCCATGTCTGCTGGATAAAGCTAAGGGACACGAAACTCAAATTTCAACCTTTCTCTTTTTTTGCCTTTGTTTAGATTTGGAAAAGGAAGTAAAAATGATGCAAAGCGAACTTGATTGCCAAAGCCAAAACAGTCACCCGGCAAGGCCACAACATGTTGCTTATTTCCGGGTGCAGGGCTAAGCGACCACCTTCCCAAGCCCCCTGTGCCAAGTGGGCCCTGAGACCAGTTCTTGCCAATCAGACGGGAGCAGATGATGGATCCCTTCCTGCCTGACACGGTTCAGGGCAAACGATCTTCTCTCTCCCCTCCCAGAGTGGAGGCTGAGGTGCAGTGATG